AAGTATTAAGCTGCCTTTATAATTGAGATAAATACGATTTTTGTGCTATTTACCATTGACCTTTTATTGTTTCTCAAGTTTATTTAAAACATGATGTTAACTCCATGAAGGGGACTTGGTTGTTTGTCTTCATAGAGTATGTTCAAGGACAATGTAGATGCTCTATAAATATTCGTTGTGTAAATGACTGAATGAAGTAAGCTACATTTTCAAATCTTTTCTCCGCACTCTGGTTTCTTTTCTATAACCTGTAAATGTACTTAATTCTTTCTGATCCCAAAGCAAAATCTTTTAGACTTTGCTCATTTCTAGTTATCTTATCTTTATTTTCTTCTCCACTAAGCTGCCTGAAAAAACGCCCCCCCCAACACATTGTCTGAACTTCATATTCTTTTAGTTACTCTTCATCTCATTGTAGTCTGATTTCTGTTCACATCACTTCATAAAAGCTGTTGTAGCAGAGGTAACCAGAGGCTTCTTAAGTGAAAAAGTCAAAGGCCTTTTTCAATCCGTTTTCACTTTCTCTCTTAGTGGCATTCAGCCTTGCTGGCTATTTCTTTTAGAAAATTCTCTCTTCTTTCTTTAGCTCCAGGCTCTTTTGCTATTGTTCATACTGTTTCCTTTGCCTGGTGTGACTTTTCCTCTGTCTTTCCTTACCTGATTAATACCTACTATCCTTGAACACTCTGCGTAGATGTGATCATCTCTCAAAAGTTTCCTCTCCCAGTTTTAGGCTGTGTTCAGTGCCCCTTTCTGTGGGCACGTCGACCCCAGAGCATATGTCTATTACTGAGCTGGCCGCACTGTACTGAAATGATCTGTTTACATTTAGAAGAATGTAGGAGCCTCAATAGCTAGTCTCCCAACACAGTGCATAACACATACTAAGAACTCAATAAATACTCGTGGAACTAAATTAAACTCTATTTTCCATTCTTTTCCTTCCTCTCTGACAGCTTGTTTTCCTTTTCCTCTATTTATTCTCTTATTTTGGTCATAAACATTGAGGTTTAGTAGGATCATATTCTTAACCCTCTTTTCTTACTCTGTTTATATTTCCTAGATAATCTCCATGCAGTTATATTTGAGGATTACTAATTGAATTAAGGCTCTTAAATCCTCTTTATATATCCAACCTTCCTGCTGAGCACCCACTTATTATTAGATATCTATGGATGGTCCGTACACAACTTATGCTCAACATGGCATCAGCTGAGCTCAATATCTCCACTCCTCCTTGCAAAACATATTTCCTCCTGTGCACTCTACATTTTCGTTAATGTTAACTTCCATCCACATAGTAATCCAAACTAAAAATCTATGGGTGATTCTGATTTCATTGCCTTTACATCTCACATTCTGTTGGTCATTACATTCTGTGGAATCTACTTTCCTATTACCTATCAAAAGTGTCCCCTCTTTTCCATACCTCCTGCCATAAATTTGAGGCTGATAATTTAGCTCATAGGCACAAATATGTCTTGTTGACTAAT